TTTACATATGGAGCCGAATATATATATATAATTAGCCCCAACAGAGATTGATTTCATGAGATATCATATTTTGTGTCAAAGTATTTTATTCTTTTATAGACTCCCATTTAAAAAAAATAAAAATAAATATTCGGTCTCTATTGGGGATAATTTTTTGTATATGTTATGCTTCATAGGAAAATGAATAATTCAGAAAATTGTCTTGCAAAAAACTGAGTATTTTATAAAAAATAAAATAAAATAAGATTATTGCAGCAAATTTTGAGATTATCTATTTCTCTCTGGTTATGATATTCTGTTAAACAAATCTTATATTTATAGAATCTTTGTTTTATAAGCTTTCTGTGCATATATTATTTGCAATATTTGGATGTACGGTTTATGAGATATGAATTTTTAAAGTTCGAAAAAATTAAGATTTAAGTAAAAGGGCATTTTAATCTAAATATCAACTCTTTTACCTCCATAGATAGTTGAGGGGGGTTATTTGGTAAAAAATTATACAATGGAGATTTATTGGAAAAAGGTTACAAGTTTAGAGGGATTCTTTGATAAAAAATTAAATAAGAGAATTTACTGAAAAAAAAAATTACAAGTTGAGAAGGGCTTTTTGTACTTTGTCCTAAATAAAATAAGTGAAATCTATCTTGTTTACTTTCACTTTCTTGCTAGTGTAATGATAATGGCATTTTTATGACTCACCAAGCATGCTAATGGGAATTAGGGAGTTGAATAAAAGAAAGTGAACTATTTTTGAAATGATCGGATTCTGATGAACCGTGTGACATGACAATAACATAATTTTTTTTTTCTTATAATCAATCCCACTAGGATATCTATAATTAATTTTTTTTTTTTAATATAGTCCTATAAAATTGAAGAGAAACTGTATTTAATGGGCAAAAAAGAAAAGAAAAGAAAAGAAACCATGAATCACTTAGAACATTTTGAATGGTTGTTTATATTTTTCTGTATTGTAAGTTCATAGTAGATTTATATAAAAAATTTGGACTAATTATTTTATTCTGCTTGTGTAAAAATCTATATGTCAATCTCAATCAACCACGTGTTACAAACTTACTTAATATATGATTGATTCGTTAATAAAATGAGAAAGAGGGAGAGAGAAAATATGTCGATGTGATTATTTTAAAAAGATTGTATAAACAATTTTGCACATTGGTGTAGTGTCAATGTATCTTAACATATTATTAAAGATAAAAAAAAAAATTCTGTACATTATGAATATTTTATACAAAAGAATCTTTTAACACACGGCTAAATGCTCTTATTGTTGACAATGTCACACGCTTTTTTTTAAATGGGTGTGCAGCGTGGTGTAAATTAAATTTTTTTTGTTTTTTTTTCCTTATTTTTTTTCTTTTTTAAGTATGTATATTGGTCACATTCAGGTCAAAAGTGCAATTTAAAAATGTGACTTAAAAAACTTATATTATAAATTTTTACCAACGCTGTTATCCTTCTGAAAACAAGTTTTTGTCTTTTCACACTTTATCTATCACACCAACTTTATATAACTTAGGTTATTAATATAAATCCTTAACGCTTGCTAAATCATTTGTAATTTTGTACACGATGTTTTGGTTGAATTTTCTCATGACCAAAAATTTGGCAGAAGTTTAGAAAATGATCAACATCGCTTCATTGAAATTCAGAAAATGACATAGAACTGAAATTAATGGTCCCCAATTATATATATATATATGCACCTGTTACATTCCAGCTGTAAGGCCAACTCTACCCTTAAACAGTGACAACAACGGAACAACAAGAAGCAAAGGAAGTGAAAGATTATTTGGTTGAAACGTCGTAGTTTTCTAGCATAAAAGAAGCAAACGTCTCCACGTGTGCGTCTCTAATCCTTCCTTTTATATGTTAACATCACAAGAATAACTCCATAAGTAATCTTATTAAGAGAGCACACTTATGACAAGAATTGCTTGCTCTTTCTACTAATTATTCAATTGAGAGATTTTTTAATAGTCTTAATCAAATTGAATTGTATGTTATGAGAAAAAAATGATCAATCTTCTTAATTATTTATGAACAACATGACATGTTGTGATGCAGTATAACACGAGGTGAGACACGAATTTTAACCTGATCTGACCTTAAGACTATATTTTTTATTATGTATCTTTAAAATTATGTAGCTTGTGAATCATTCAAAATAGAACAATATTCTTGTTGTGCTGCAGAGGATCTAAACTCCTTAACTTAAACCCTGCACTCCATGGAGCCTACACCTTCTATCGTATCATCATATCCAGCAACTATATCTAATTATTATTTGATTGACCTATGGTAACATAAAAATATGCTTATCTGGAGCTTCAAACTTTGAAAGTGACTTGCTCTGATCCCCACATAACAAGCCATGGTCTTAAATCACTGATTTGAACTTGTGAACTGGCATCGTCCCACCGGCTAACTTATGGTCAACATTACTTCCTAATTTTAAAGGCATACATTCCTCAAAAACGTTGTATCTAAATTCTAAAATCCTCCTGCAACATCTACACGTGTCAATATACTTACCAACACCTAAGTGAAGGGGACCACTGTACTGTAGAAGAAAATTGACCACTCAATTTTTGAACTCATTGAATTAAGTAACTGATTTTAGGCAACAATCAATTTTGTTTCTATATATTCTCACTCTTTTTCTTTCATAGTTCATACCTTATCTATTAATAAAGCTTCTTTTTAAATTTATTCACTTTAACTTTAAATACTAAAAGAGATGAAAATGAATAAATCAAGAGGGTGTGAAAAAATGACATGAAATGAATAATATAAGCATAAATTATGATATCAATGGCTTGGGTTGGAACTCAGGTGGGGAAGGGACTAGCCCCCGTCAAACTAAAGGTTTTAGGGTCTTAGCACGCACCAAGCTCGTGTCTCCAAAAATTCAGAACATCTTAGCTTGTGCCATATCACACGGATTTTTCAAAATTTTCATGTCATTCTAAATTTTAATAACCTAGAAAATAAAATGTTAAAATTTTAAAATAAGCATGTCAAAATTAGGTGAATATCCATGAATCCATGACAGATTATACAATAAATAATTTGATTTTAACTGTATTTTACATAAATATGTATAATATTAAAAATATATTATTTAAAACTTACTACGTATAAATTAACCTTATGGTTTGAATTCTTGAGTTCCTCGGGTTAGTAAAACATTTGCCGAACTTCCACCCAGAATTCAAATTCAATCCCATTTCATAGTCTTAAGTACCTTTCTCACCCCCATAATAATTTCGGGCAAGAATTGGGTTGCTCGGGTTAAACCCACCCAAGTCCCACTCTTATAGGTGGGTAGGACATATTATATGTACAACTCAAGTTCAATAGTACTAACCCAATCTCAAAGTTTAACTACTTAAGTATATCTCTATGAAGCACAGACACTCTTCCCAAGGGTCTCATACTAGTGTCGAACACTTTTCGAATACGGACACGCGTATCCGACACTTCTGTGAAGTGTCCAAAAATTATTTTTTATTGGACACTACTCGGACACGTGGGGGATATGGCTTGGACACGGCGGGGTATATTTTGTAATTATTTTTAAAAATAAATGGGGTACCTAATGTAATTTTTTAGAAGTTTAAAAGTAAAATTTTGAAAAAATAAAATAACAACTACAGACAACAAAGTACCATACAATAAATTTATTTTCTCTCACTTCCTCTCATAGTTTCTCCTATTCTTCAATTATCTCTGTACATTAACAAAACATTTTTTTTTTTTTTTAAGTTACATGAACAAGACTTTGTGAAAGATTGAAAGTATATATGTTTATTCATATATATATTTAGCCCATTATAACTATGTCTCTTCTGCACATCTTCATTTGGAATTTGGATCAACTTTATTTTTCATTTATTGTCTGTTTTGTCTTGTCTATGTTTTTCTTATAACAAAGATGTAATTATTGAAATTAGTCATGTTATTTGTTATTGTTTTATTTGCAATTTTGTATTTATATATACTTGTTTGTTATTAAGAAAATGAATGTGCAAAGTTCTAATAATTATATTTTAAATATATATATATATATATAATTTTATAGGTGTATCCCCGCCGTGTCCATGTCTTTTTTTTTTTCTTAAATTTGTTGTTTCGCTGTATCCGTGTTGTGTCGTACCCGTATCCTGTATCAGTGTCCGTGCTTCATACGTACAGCCCAATCCATCATTACATTTTTAAACTTGGGTCAAACCCATCCTGAGCACAAAAAAATGTATAAAACTTAATACAAATTTCTGAAAGATTACAAACAATTTCTTAAGAAATTAATTCTCCAAAATATTTATATACAATAAATTAAGATTTAAACAAAGAAAGTTAAAAAGAAAAAGCTGATCATAATTTGAATATTATGTATAATAATATTTATAATAAAAAATATATATATATATAATATTAAAATTTGGGTTCGGATTGGATTTGGGTTGCTGGCATTTTAGATTGATATTTTTTTAACCTAAATTTAGTCCTAATTATAAAAATAATTACCCAGGTAGGTAAAAAATCAGTTTGAGTTCGAGATAGACCCTTATTTAATATATATATATATATAGATAGATATATTTTTATCGAGATAAATTAAAGAGAAGCCAGCTAATGCCCTAGTTAAGTTTCTTAATGAGGTTGTATAGTACTTCTACTTTAGTACAAAGAAGTACTGTAATACTTTGTTAAATGACAACCAAAAAGAAGGGAATTGGGAATCAAAATCGATCCAGTTGGTAGACAGCCTGTGATTCTGTAATAAAACCCAGTTGTTATACACACTGTTTTTCACCTGCCTATGTTGACCATCTTACAACCCCATAACAGCTAGCTTTTTGCCACCTCCCAACACTCTCACCACCAAACCACCTCCTTATTAAAAACCAAATTTAGTGAAATTTGAACCTTCTCTTCACTTTCACTTTCAAACCACACGCTTTTTTCTTTTTCTTTTCCCTTTTATATTCAGGAAAAAATCACATCACAGACAACGATACCACCACCTTCCCCCCCTCTCTCTCTACAAATATACTAGTATTTATATGAGAATCTCCCACAACTTGTAAGCAAAAGATTCATAATATCTCTTCCACTTCCAAGCACAAGAGAAGCTATTAGTGTATCTATTTCACTTTAATCATGGGTCGCTCTATCTTGGTTTGCCTGATGCTAGCTGAGATCTTGATGGTTCATGCAATGGCTATCAGATCTGACGCTTCCGATCTGATCAAACCACCAAAGATAACGATGATTCAGACATGGGATCATAGTATAGCAGATCCGCCTCTATCATCAGGTGGTGCAGAGTCGTCGTCAGAGGGTGGCGATGAAGGGTCTAGTGCAGCCGAACCTCCGGAGATCAGACGGCTGGGAAAGCACCACTCGTCAGATAAATCAGTGGCTGGTGGCGGTGTCATCATTGGTGGGCTTGTCACCGCCATTTTCGCCGCTGTTTACTGCTACATCAGAGTCACCAGAGGAAAGGAGGCTGAGAAGCACTGAAGCTCTCTGTTTTCAAAACACTCTTTTGAGTCTCTGTCTCACTAAGTTTTGATCTGAACACAATGGTTTGCTCAAGAGTGGGTTTTTACATATGTTACTCATATACATATACATACATATATGTGTGTATGAAAGAAGCAGAATGTGAATAATAGATTAGAAATATATATATATATACTCTGTTTTTTCTTAATTCGTTGTTCTTTGAGATGTAAGAGATTATACAAATGAAAGTGATTGATCAATAATTAGTTATTTATTTATTTATTATTTCCTGATATACATGTGAATGTGATACTACTCATGTGTGCTCAACTCTACCGTATTGAATCTATTTTGTCGCCTATTATATAGCATTTGGTCCATTGTCTTCACTCTTTTTTTGGTCTTCCCAGAGGTTCATGTTTTGTTGCCAATTACAGCATTTGTTCTATGCATTGTCTGGAAGTTGGATTATGTTCTATGCCTACCCTAACATGAAAAATTGAGACTATAATTTTATCTGATTAAACAAACACGATTTTTAATTTTATTTTTTTAAGGGGAAAAAATTGTCAAATCAAATTGCTCTTTCCAATTTAATTTTTATCTGTTTTAAAAGATAATCACTTAAACATGTTGATGAATATGTTAATAGACTTGTAAACAATGGGGCTCATGGTTTGTGAACCGACTCTTTATTAATCAATCCTACTCAAATATTGATTTCTCAACTAAAACTCGACCAGAATAGACCAATTTTTGCGAAGTTGAGCTTTGAGTAACCAAATAATCTGGAAACCAGATTTTGAAGGTGGATTTTGCATTCCAATGCCTATATGTATTTTTACCCGAAGGCAACTTCTCTATATGTATTTTTAATTTGAATGAATTTATAAATATGGTGCTTTTGTGTGTGTTCTTGATTTTCTTTTTCTTTTTTGTTATATTCTTATGTCACATATCTTGGATAAGGTTTGTTCTTTTTAAAAACAATTATCGAAAATCATTAGTCTGATCATGAATGTCTGCGTGTTATTCTTGATCCAACTATGTGATCCATCCACACACAATGGGCTTGTTCGCGTCCCACATTTCTGGTTGGTAGGCATGTATCTACCTTATGCCTTTACTGAATTTTTTTATTTTTTATTTTTTTTAATATTTTATACCTATTGACAATTGTTTTCTTCTTGTTGTATTAAACACTTATAAAATTTTAAAATTACCTTTACTAAAATTATAAAAAAAGTATACTATTGCCCTATATCACAGGGGGCCTCTTACATAATTTTCTGGGTCCGTCTCTACTGATTGGGATTGAATCTGGTATCATATGTTATAATCTGCTCTTATCTATGTAGATATTATCAGTTTTGCACTCTCCTCTCGGTGCTTACAATTTTTTTCAAAATACGTTTGCATAGTTAGAAAATGTCCATACATATAAATTCCAATAACTTTTTTTCACAATGTGGGATGTAACAATACTACAAAGAGGCCACTGAATTCATGAAACCCCAAGGCCCCCTATTATTATTGCTGTAAGAATTTAGGATTGACTAAATTCTCTAAAACCCTTATGGATTAAAATTAGTTATTAGCGTTTCATCAGTGAACCACATGAAAACCAAGAAACTCCAAGGTACTCTATTATTATTGCCACAGAAATGTAGGATTGACTACATTCCCCAAGACCCTTATGAATTGAAATTATTTATTACCGTTTCATTAGTGAATCACGTGAAAACCAAAAAACCCTAAGACCTGCTATGGATTGAAATTAGTTATTACCATTTTATCACTGAACCAAGTTAAAACCAAGAAACCTGAAGGCTCTCTATTATTATTGTCGTAGGATTGACTACATTCTTTAAGACCCTTATGAATTGAAATTAGTTATTACCGTGTAATTTATTAAATCTTAGGAAAGATAACATAAGTAGACGGTGTGTAATTTATTGAACTTTTAGGATGGATAACGTAATTTGCACCAAAAAAAATAATAATAATAAAAAAATAAAAAGGGCAAATATTTTAATTTTGAATGTGCATTTTCGACGCTCTGGAAGGTCTCATCTCAGCTCTCGCTCTTGTAATAATAACTAATTTAGTTCAAAAACCATGCTTTGGAATAGTACGACATGCTTGAATCCGAACTGCTATTCAAAGAATACCATGGAAATAGACTGAGAAAACAAGCCATACATATTCATGGCCCCAAGTCTTTCTCTCTCCAGAAGACTCCCAAACCCTTGTCTCCTTTCTCTCTCTCCTCTTTCCAGCAAAATTCGACCGTTGGATCCCACATTGTTAACCTCACGTGAATTTCCCGCGTCCCCATTCAGATTTCTCAAACGTTATTCTTCATTACCACTCAATCTAGACTATTACTACGACAATGACAATCTCTGCAATGGCTTCGACCCTGATTTGTATTACACCTCTCTCCTTGACAAATCCATCCATAAGGGGCATTTAAGTCTGATTCACGCCCAATTAGTTGTGTCTGGACTTCAATACAATGGTTACATTGTTACCAAACTTATCAATGTGAGCTCAAATCTCGGAGAAATTCGTTATGCCCGTGAGGTGTTTGATGAATTTCCTGACCCATACGTGTTTTTGTGGAATGCCATCATTCGGGGTTACTCTAGGCACAATATGTTCAGTGATGCTATTGAAATGTATGTAAAAATGCAATCAGCGAGTGTCATTCCTGATTGCTTCACTCTTCCTCATGTGCTTAAAGCTTGTAGTGGTCTGCCAGCAATGGAAATTGGTCGTGCAGTACATGGGCAAATATTTAGACACGGGTTTGAATCGGATGGGTTTGTGCTGAATGGGCTTGTGGCTTTTTATGCGAAATGCAGTCAAATGAGGCAAGCTCAGATTGTTTTTGACCGGTTATATGATAGGACAATTGTCTCGTGGACCTCACTTATTTCTGGGTATGCCCAGAATGGCCATCCCATGGAAGCTTTGAAATTTTTTAGTCAAATGAGAAAGTCGAATGTGGAACTGGATTGGATTTCTCTTGTGAGTGTTCTCAGGGCTTACACTGATGTAGAGGATTTGGAACAAGGAAAATCAGTTCATGCCTGTGTGATTAAAACAGGTCTTGAATTTGAACCGGACTTGCGCATTGCACTCACAGCCATGTATGCAAAATGTGGGCAGGTGATGGTTGCCAAATCATTATTTGATCAAATGGAGGTATCAAATGTGATTTTGTGGAATGCCATGATATCGGGTTATGCAAAAAATGGTTATGCTGATGAAGCCGTAGAGCTCTTCAAGAAGATGACATTGAAGAATGTTAGACCTGATTCTGTTACGGTACGATCTACAATCTTAGCTTGTGCCCAAGTTGGGTCCCTTGAACAAGCAAGACAGATGCATGACTATATCAATAACAGCGAGCATAGAAATGATGTCTATGTCAACACAGCCCTTATAGACATGTATGCAAAGTGTGGAAGTGTGGAGTTGGCTCGCAAAGTATTTAACCAAACACCAACCAGAGATGTTGTTGTGTGGAGTGCCATGATTGTGGGATATGGATTGCATGGTCGGGGTAGAGAAGCTATTGATCTTTTCGACAGAATGAAGCAAGCTGGGGTGTGCCCTAACGATGTCACATTCATTGGGCTCCTTATGGCATGCAATCATTCAGGTCTTGTAGAAGAGGGATGGAAAATTTTCCACAGCATGAGAGATTACAGGATTGAGCCTCGCCACCAACACTATGCCTGTGTGGTTGATCTTCTTGGCCGTGCAGGATATTTGCAAAAGGCTTGTGATTTTATCATCAGCATGCCAATTGAACCAGCTGTTAGCGTATGGGGAGCACTTTTGAGTGCATGCAAGATCTACCACCATGTGAATCTGGGAGAATATGCTGCAAAACGGCTTTTCTCATTAGACCCATTAAATACAGGGCATTATGTGCAGCTCTCAAATCTCTATGCTTCAGCCCGCCTATGGGATCGTGTTGCAAAAGTACGGGTATTGATGAGGGAGAGAGGGCTAACTAAGGACCTGGGGTATAGTATGATTGAGATAAATGGAAAGCTTCAGGCCTTCCGCATGGGAGACAAGTCACATCCAAGGTGGAAGGAGATATTTGCGGAGCTTTCAAGATTGGAGAGGAGGCTGACCGACGCAGGTTTTATTCCAGATATGGATTCTGCTTTGCATGACTTGAATTACGAAGACAAGGTAGAGAGCCTCTGTAATCATAGTGAAAGATTGGCAATTGCTTATGGGCTTATCAGCACTCCTCCTGGGACTACACTTCGGCTAAAAAAGAACCTGAGGGCATGTGTGAACTGTCATTCAGCAACAAAGCTAATTTCCAAGATTGTTGATAGGGAGATAGTTGTTAGGGATGCAAATCGGTTTCATCATTTTAAGGATGGGTTTTGTTCTTGTGGAGATTATTGGTAATGGGTGGTTGGTTTTTTAAATTCATCAATTTCTGGTTGGACTCAGATTTTCAGATGCATAAGGGAAGCCTATAAATTTTGACTCAATTGAGCCTGAAAGGGTTATGGGGATGAAAGACCACAAATTGTCTTAATGAAAATCTTATCCTAATCAGCTGTGATGGTTATGTCCAAATCTGAACTCCATAGGTTTTGGCATGTTGGTCTGCTTGATTCTCGTAGTGCTGTATATATTTGAGGAGCTTGAGCAATTTGATACGAGGTTGAAGGTGGCTGGATTTGTTCTGGATACAGATTTTGTGTTTGCATGACTCGAGTAACGAAGATATGGAAGTGCATCTGTGAGCTAAGGATAACAACTCAAGTTGCAGCAATGGTTGTTGATTTACTTTTTTAGGGCTGCAAACCAGTTTCACATTTCGTGAGTGGATTTTGATACTGTGAAGATCATCAGTAACAGCTGCAGCTGGTTCTTGACATTCACTGTAAGTTGTCTGGTTCAGTTCAGTTGCATATCAAGGAAGATTGATAATGTTGTATTAACTAAACTTGAACCAGTTATGCCCTTGGAAATTTACAATCCCTCTAAGAAAATTTTGGCCTGATCATAAGATGATCATGTCCACAATGCATGGATTTTGAAGCAGCAAGCAGCTAAAGATTAAGAATGTTGGTAAGTTATTTTTAAATTTTCGACACAATAATCGCATCCCATTTGTAGTTGAAAATTTTCATGTGATTTCAAACTTGATTATGGAATTCTAGCACAATTTTTTAAAATATAAGTGCTTTTCAGTAATAGAGAAGCACTCCCAAACACCCACTACCACAACTTTTGTCCCTAAAATTCGTCCATCTGAATAAAAACTGACACCCTCAAAAAATTGTTCATTTTATACTGGAAAATTTTTGCAATGTAATTAGGTTTATGTTCTTTCATTATTGTCCCGTCTGTTCGTGCCTCATATGTGACATTATCATTAAAAAAATCTCACTAAAAATTTGGATTACAACAAGGATTATTTTATCAGATGGGATGTCTCAACTCTTTTGGAGACTTGTTATACTAGTCCCCTGGTAAACGTGTATTTTTTATCACCTCGAAGTTATCTGATATAATTTTCAAAATTTCTAAACGCAGAGAATAGTTTTAAACTATAAAAATGAGTATTATCTTAAAATATGTTTTATTTTATCTCAGTTTTCATATAATAATTTTCTGAAACCCGAATCTTGCTACAATTATATCTCTGCACCATTACAGTATACCTTTTAGACGTTTAGAGAGATTAGACCTCCGTGAATTTCAACCTTTATGTCCAAAATTATGATCCTAGTTGTGTTGTAGTAGGAGTCTAAAGAGAGGAGTCCCTGATTAAAAAAACATAATACACCAAACGATGCTTTTTTTTTTTTTTTTTTATACTTATGAATCACCTGCAAACCACACATACTCCCTCCGTCCTTATTTAGTTGTCCAGCTCGTAAATTGTGACTCACATTTGTGAGGAGCTGGACAACTAAATAAGGACGGAGGGAGTATCATTTAAACCCGAGCCTGAGTACTCTCGCCTCTTGAGACCCCTTAATTATGGGCCACCTGGATCAAATTTATGTGAATGCTCTTACTGATTTTGGCATGCAAAGGGATGGATTTAAAACTTGAATTAGCTATTTGGGGTCACCGGAGCGAGTTTAGATCAATTAGTTAATCCTCTACTAAGCCAATCTCAAGCTTTTCCTAAGCAGTCATTAGTTACTCTTAAAGCCCAACTGAATTTATAATCGTGTGAATATTATTTTGCCACCTATTGAATCTACAAAAACAAGCTAAAACATCGACCACACCAGATCATTTTCCGTTTAATTCTCTCCTCCAAGTTGAAAACAAACTCCAGCGATCTTATCGTTATACGTTGGCTTCACTCGATCATTTGAAACTTTCAAACCCTAATCCAAAGTATCTAAACCACCTCATAACCCAGTCTCAAAGAGTGACCAAGAAAGTGATCAAACACCAAAACTAATGGAAACAAGATCTGCTAAGAGAAAGAAACTCTTGATCATCAATGCAGAACATGATCATCAAGGTGATCATCAGAGAATTAGTGAAGACCGAATCAGTAACCTTCCTGATGTTATTCTTCATCACATTCTCTTCCTTCTCCCCATCAAATCCATTGCTCAGACCAGTGTGTTATCGAAGCGATGGAGATACCTCTGGTCCTCCTTTCCTGATCTTGACTTCAACACCATGGAACCCGTCATCAGTTCTTCGAAAAAAATCAAAATCAATACAAATGGTCAAAAGAGAGTACACTCTCCGATAGCTAAAGGCATGGACTTCGTCAGCCAAGTCCTAGGTCACCGGGACAAGCATTCCGATATAAGGATCCTCCGTTTTCGTGCAGTGGTGAGCTTTTCTCGATTAAATGGATTGATTCGTCGTGCTGTGAGGCATAATGTTCAAGAACTTGATGTTGAGGTCTCCACCCATGATTATTTTAACTTCCCACGTTGCATTATAGCCTGCGAATCATTGAGGATTTTCAAGCTCAAGTCTTGTTATCCTGGCTTTAGATTGCCTCCAACCATCATTTTGAAGAGTGGTTTTCAATCACTCCACACTTTGTCACTTTCCCTTGTCATTTTATACCAACAACGCTCTCTTCTTGATCTGTTTACGGATCCATCGTTCCCTCTACTTAAGAAGCTGAATTTGGATGCTTGTTTCGGGTTGAAACATCTCCATGTTAGTTGCCGAGGACTCGAAGAATTAACCCTAGAGAATTGTTTTCAGTTGAATGATTTGCACATTTCTGGGGGGAAGATGGAGAGATTGCGAGTGGCGAGTTGTTTTGATGCGTATAGTGTGAGTAGTTGGATCAAAATTGATGCCCCGAGACTCGAGATTGTGGTTTGGGAATATAATGCTATTACTGAGAACAGTTGTGTGGAGAACTTGACTTCACTGCATGAGGCCTCCATTGGGTTCTTTGTACTTCATGAGGACATGAGTGCAGCAAAGCTTCAGAGTGTTTCCAATTTCCTATCTGGATTCTCTCATGCCCAGTGTTTGACACTTGAAAGCCAATGTGTTGAGGTATTTTCCTTCTCTCTGAGTCTCACTCTCTTTATATTTGTTATGCAGACTCTGTGTGTATACTTGTGTGTGTGCATATGTATGTGCAATGAAGGATGCCTATGTATTTTTACACTTTACGTATTATTAATTAACTATTAATATGGGCCAATAATCATATTGTCACACTGTTGAATTCAATCAACCTCACAAATGTTTAATGTGTCCATGAAGTTTTGTCAAGATATTTCAAGCTTTAGGTAAGCATAAATTGATGGATAATGTCTATTTGTGGCCAAATTTCTATCATTACTATAACCATCTTTATTTGCCTAATGATTATGAGGAACAAGAAGAGAAAACTACCAAATATTAGTAGAATTATAGATTTATTATATTGTACAAAACTAGTTAATATTGCATATTCGAATTCAAACTCTGAATCAATTAGGTTAGATTTACTTTGGTGGAAGATGAGCTGTAAAAAAAATACTACGTAGTATATTGATTATGATCGTTGAAGCCAAAAATGACCTATACAATGTGATCAAATTCAACTATCTAAACATGGCATGTTCTGAGACAAATTATAGGTGAAGACTTCTCAGTTTTATGAGTAGAGTACTTAAATTTCTCATCAACAAGTCAAATTTTTGCATTAGAAAACACCCAGTAGATTCTGATTTTTGTATATGCCTTGAGCTTGTAGTTTTTCGTCCATGATTCATACAACTTTGTTACTTAATTGGGTGCAGATTGTGTCCAAGAATAAGCAATTTGCAGGTGTTTTACTGCATCCCTTTGATAATCTCAATACCTTGGAGCTGCGTACCGGTTTCAATAAACACAATATTCCAGGACTAGCATGCCTATTCAGGAGCTCTCCTACTCTACACACACTCATTATCAAGATCATTGACGATTACAAAACCGAAAGGAGAGTGAGTGCCATCATAATAAACTTTGATATCTATGCTTGAATTTCTGTTGATGTGTCTTAAGTGCACGAGTTCACTAATTTCTTTTCATTTCAGCAATGGAATGGAGACTTGTGGGACTTGTCCAGCTCTGAGGAAGAACGATACTGGGAATCTCAAAGCCAAATCTTGAAGTCCTTCCTGCATCACCTAAAGGTAGTAAAAATCCATGGCTTTTTGGCATGTGAGAATGACATTAGTCTGGCAAAGTTTTTGCTCAAACATGGAAGGGTTTTGCAAGAAATGACCGTCTTCTCAGGACACTACAATTCTAGATATTCGCTCAGGCGGGAAAAAATAAAGTCACAGATGATGGGATTTTCACGTGCTTCTTCTAATGCTAAAATTGCATTTCAATGAGCGAGCCTCAGCTTAGTATTCAAAAGGTTCATATCAGCTTAGATTTCTAGTCATCCCTATGGATGAGTACAACTGTTTGACATTGTTACGAGGGATGTTGCATTGTGAGGCTCGTTTAAGTCTCTATTGTTGCTATTGAAGTAATTGGCAATGTAAGATGGAAACCTATTTAACAAGTACATTCCCAGAAATGAAGTTACATTGCGAGAATTGTGGACTCTTCTCATGTTTAAGAGAGTTTTTTTTAATTTTTTTTTTATTCTGCTAATGTATGATTTTATTTTGAGATTAAGTATAATAATATAACATGTCTTTTAATTTTGGCCAAGTATAAAACACCTTAATTTTCCACCAGATCGAAATGACACGAAAATTTCGAGTTTGAGCACGAAAGTAGGTCGTGTCAAAGATTAGGTCTGTCACGGGATTTGTCCTCCCAATACCCTTTGTAAGCAGGACTTGGGTAATGATCTCTATATCATCTGCATTGTGGGAAATTCCGAGATGGATAACATCATTTGCTTAATTGCTTCTACCAAGTTGTTTTGTTATACTCTGTTTTGTAAACTTTGAGATAGGAGAGTTTTATGTTGTATGTGGATTATTGACTTTATTATTGTTTCATTTTTACTATTGGATTATGAAAGTAAATAGCTGGACATGAAAATTGTTTATTTGTTCAATTTTCTTTTATAATCTCTTAATTCTCCTACCCCTAAACGAAGGTATTAATGATTCCTATTCTTCTAACTTGAATTCAAGATTCTAAATAAAATGAGAAATCTTTGTGATAACTGATCTAAAATTAAAAAAAACAGTACAAATAATATAACAATTGTTTGAAAATGCTCTTCTGACTAACAAGATAACATTATTCATATGATAGATAATTCTTGATGAATTGATGATACACAACTAAACATATATGGGACCTGGATCTCCTCTTGTGTGTGAAGAGATTTTGTGTATGTGTGCTGTGTGCATCACAAGTGCGCAATCTAGTAAGAAATTGCACGGAATCCAACATAATATCTATCTTTAACTTCGTGCCTGTATATCAAAACAGTACTATTTTGATAATTAATACGAAAATAAGATTCCATGAATCCAAGAAAAGGGAGTCAAATCAAGGATCCACCTTCACTTCATTCAATAATTGTGATTCCAAATTTTTACCTAATTCTTAAAGATTTAAATACTGTAACCCTTTGCATATGTAAGAGGTTTTTTTTTTTTTTTTTAAATGGGAAAGTACACTTGCACACTTCTGGCGAAGAGGCTATGTCCAGACTCAAACTCCTCCGTCATTTGTCTTTGTAAAGATTTGAATGATACGTATATTACTCTTCATAAATATTTAATAAATTCTATAAATAAAGTAAGTAATGTGTTTAATGGTAAAAACAACTTAAAATTTATCATTCCTTTTTATCTTACTTATTAAATTAAATTGTCAATTTTTTCATTTTCTTCAATCCAACATAACACAAAAAGAAAAACACTTAATTTCTTCTTTAAAGATGTTTCAGTCATTCTTTCTTTTCTCCTTTTCATTCAATTTTTTTTCCTCCTGCCGAACAAGCATAAATCTTTCAGCACGATGTTGCTTTCCTTTTCAGATCAGTGGTGAGCAATAAGTATTGAAGTGGTGAATCCATACCACCCTGGGCTCCCACTTCATTGAAAATATAAAAACAGAAGTGTTTTATTGCACGTGTTTCTTCACTGGAAGGCAGGCAAAAGATGAACAGTCATCTGATCAATTATGTGAATCTGTATTGTCTCCTCTTTATAGAAAGGCAGACAAAACATAACTAGTATTTTGTTGTCTTTCTCCATTTAACATCACACCAATTTTAGTTGATTAAATTCATATTAAAATAAATTAAGTTCCACACGATAAATAAATAAATAAGTTAAGATAGAGAATGATAGGAGAATTTGGGAAATCATATGTTAAAATGGTGCAAAAAGAAAATTGGGTATTTCATTTGAAAATCTGACCATTAACTTGTTAATGGGACTTTCTGATTTGTATATAAATTTGATAGAAAATCCAAGAAAAAAATAAATGTAAGCTAAAAAAAATGTTGACATTTTTAGGAAACTGTTGTGTTACATTTGTCATACATAATATACGTGTGCATATATCCATATTATGTACTACTAGTATAACTAGTGTTTTGTTAATACTCACTTTGTCCTAGTCCTGCTTTTTGAAATGCACGTGTAAGCTTTATATGCATGGTTGGCATTGGTTTGTTGCGTGCACTCGCGTCTATGCTACTTAGATATGAGACAATTAGATATCGCATGCACTGTGGACTTTTGAATCAGAAACCATGTTTGGTACTCCTCCTATATACAGTGAATCAAATGCCTTGAAATTTGCTTTTTTGTTATATTGATTTGATTGACTTGGATATTATTGAAGAAAGGGCCAAAGGTGTGTACTACAAATAAAGTGGCTTGTCTTGTCACCAAGTTGACAACCATTGGAGGCACAACGCCTGTCCGTGTTTCTCATTTACTTATTAGTTCCCATTCCCATTTTGACCAATTATAACCCAGGGTTCTAGTTCTACCCCCCCTAGTTTCTACTCGGTTAGGGTTTAAAAAACATATATATAGAGTGAAAACGATCAGGTAGATTGGTTGATTTTTTTATGATTTGATTTGATTTGATTTTAATTTTAAAAATATGAAATCATTTATAAATGGTTTGGTTCTTATAGAAATAGAATGGCTTTATCTTTAATAGTTGGAGAGAGCTTTTTCAGATTGTACTAGTGTGTATGTTTGATTTTAAAAAATTGTATTTATGTAATGTAAAAATAGAAAAAAAAAAATAATAAAAAGTAATTTGTACTAACATTCCTCACGTATATAATAAAGACCCTTAAAATACAATTTAAGAAAAATGCAATTCAATCGCCATCAGGCCCTTCGCATTGACAAACTTGAACAAATAGTACTTTCTATATGATAAGAGTACATAATTATCTTTTAATTTTTAAATTAATTTATTTAAATCATTAAATTATAATATTAAAATTTATAAATCCTTTTAATTAACCAAAATATCTCTCAGCAAAAAAAAAATTAAATAAAAACTAAACTTCACCACCACCACCACCGTCCACAATCACCCCCACATTAGGTCCACCATCATCCACAACTAGATCCATAACCATCCCCAAATTAAGCTTCTTCCCCTAAATCCCTTGCAGCCGCTGCCACCATCACCACCAAGAAAGCTGTCGCTATTGATCGAGCCCCCGGATCTGGTCGAGGCATTGACGTCGTTGTCGAAGACAGAGTCGTTTTCGCTGTCGGACATTGCATCGTCCTTCTTGTCGGAGTCTCTCCATCGCTTCATTGGACAAATTTAGCCTGGGATTGCAAAATTTGTTCTCGTAGGAGCCTCAACATCGCGTCACCGGAAAAATCTAGCCTCGGATCGTGAAATATGTTTTTCTTCTTATCGAAGCCTCAACATCGCGTAGCAGTCGAGAGTTTCTCTACCCGTCACCGTGGTCTGGTCAGGTGGTAGCCTTCATCACAGCTTACACTAGTCGACGCCGTCGTTGGGAAATCACGGTTCGATCACAAGTTTTGGTTTGGCAGTATTATTGTCGGTGTGGTGGTAGTGGTGATGTTGAATTATGTAGGTATATATATATATATATATATTTATGTGTTTGTGTGTGTGTGGATATATGGCATTGGCTGCCAGAGCGGTGGAGTTTGGTTGTTTTTTTTTTAACGGTCATTTTGGTCAATTTAAAGGACTGATGAAAGTTAATTTTATAATTTAATGATTTAAATGAGTCAATTTCGAAGCCAAATGACAATTATATACTCTTATTATGTTATGATTGAGGATGATGTTGTTCAAGTTTGAAAATTTAGAGGATAATTGGATTATATTCTCCGTAACTTATATCTACATGCTTTTCTTACAAATCTCGATAGATGTGGATGGGTTTAATTTAGTTCTAATTTTGTTTGAAAGAATGAACCATTTGTTTTTAAAATATTTTTAAATCAGTTCAATTTGAACTTCGTGCACCCCTAAATTAGGTGTGGATGCATGTGAATTGAATGTGCTTTAGACAAATAAATGGGAGAACAGATGGTTTAAAATACTAGTTGTAAGAGTAAAAAGTCACAAAAACATTTTTTCTTTTTTCATTTACTCATGTTTCTACTTGATATTGAGTAGGAAAGGCTCCAAGTAGCTAGCTCTCTCTTTCTTCAGTTCTTGGTGGTCCATTTCTTGTGACCAGGAACCCATGTGGGACATTTAGGACTGAAATAATTTGAAACAACCCTCGAGTTCAAAAGCTCGATAATGGGACCATATTTGATGCACCGAGGTGCCTTGTACTGGTTTATTGATGCACCATTGCTGAGAGCATAGTCCATAAGCTTTTCAAATGTCTCACTCTCCACTATCTTTATCTCTAGAGGGCCAATTGACTTGTCTGAGGCTCGACCTTGGCGATAAACACTATTGAGGGACTCTTCAATGGCAAGGCAACAATCCTCAAGAACTGATGCAGGAATTGGAGTTGCAATACTACTTAGACCTAGTTCCCAGTACAAGACATAGTGACCTGGAATGTTTGATGTGTCCGCATGGCTTGTGTATTCTATGAGAGTTGCATCAAACGGCAAAAGATGGTTAGCTGCATTCTTCACCGCATTGTGTAGCTCAACTTCATTGGTTTTGTCAGAATCGATGCTGAGAACAACATTCTTTCGGCATATGAAGTTGAACTGTGGCGCCTTGTTCTTGAATCCAGCTACTCGAAGTATGTCCCCAACACGATAACGATAGAGACCTGGAATTTGAGGTTATAAATTAAATTGTTGAGCCAGCAGAAGCATATGCACATAATTTGATGATAAGAGACAAGAGAGACAACTCTCTCTAAGGCTACAACTATTATATTCTCTTTAAGCCTTGTCAAGTAAAATATAAGACCTCGAACCCTGTTCATCGAGAACGTACCTTATCGAAGGGTTTGAAGTACAAATAGACTTTCAAACACAAAGAGGCTTAAGGATCGGTTATTATATTCTCTCAAGTCTCAAATCATAATTTAAATATCTATTTATAGAATTTTAATCCAAAGTTTTAAAAGTTACTTGTTAGCTATTCCATAGGAGTCCAAAGGCATATCAATATTATTTTATATTCCATTATAATTAGTTAAAGAAACAAATGCTTAATGCTTGAAAAATATTGTATCTTACCAGCATATGTGGTGACCACAAGCTCATATTCTTGTCCAAGTTTGACATCCACAAGATCAACTAACTTTGGATTCTCATTTGGGTTGAAGGGTGTTGATTCAGAGAGTGAATTGTCATCTCCAATTTCTCTATTCACCGGCAAGAACTCAAAATAGGCCATGGTGGGAATGAGGGTGTAAGAGACATCACTTGGCTTGGAGAGAGGAGTAAGGTTTACACCAAAGTAACACTCAGAAGAAGCATACATGGTGCAAACGAGAGGCAGACCATTGCTGTAATAATCAAGAATTTGAATATATTGGGACATTGTTCCGGTCACTATAACATCTATATACTTAGTGTTAGGCCATAACCTAGTTATGATCCCTTTCCATGACTCCCTACTACACTCACCCTCGATAAATTCTGCAAGATTAGGGTTCGGTTTGAGAATTTTCATGACGGATAATCTCACCGATTGGTCAGTGATTCGGGGGTCAACTGTTCCTGTTCTAATGTCATGACAAAGAAGAGCCCAATGCTTTTCAAGGAACCGGATTGCACGAATGAAGCCGGAAGCAAAGACGGCTCCAACTCGGAGAACTTCTTTGTTTTGACATAGGCCACAGAGCAATTGGGAGTACATACTCTGGTAAGAATCTGGACAGAGAATGGTTTCATTAGGGCTTGTATAGTTGGTGTATGGATCATAAGGTCTGTCCTTAAAATATGAGCTTTTGTAGTAACTGGTTAGAACAGGACGAGCCACAAGCCCTCCAGGCGTCTTAGCTTCTGATTTAACAAAGAGAAAGTACATTCCTTTGCCTTTGTCTAAATCAGGAACATACTGGTTCATCACAGGCATCAGAAGGCTGTAAATCAATGATCTCCTCTCGAGCTCCTCTTCTTCCGTCGGCATCAGTTTTCTCTCTCCCCCGGATGTTCCAGAGCTACATACACATCAAACAAAGACATTAATATTCAACCAAAATCCAAAGAATTAACACTGCTACTCTAACTGATAATTCAAGTCTAAAACATCCGCTGAAGGACTTTTATGCCATGTTAGATATGTTTAAGTGAGATTAAACATATCTAACGGAAATAAGTCCTCGACTTATCTTTTAGGCCTGAATTACTGGTTCAAATATCATTTTAAATTTCAATTAAATTGAACCTCACATGTGACCATATGTTTCACCAATCAATTAAGTTAGGAAAGTAAAATCGCATAAAAGAATTTAGAAGACTATAGAAATGTTAAGGGTACGGTGGAACTTACCTTGTGAGAAACTCGGAAATGGGATGAGAGCAAAGGATGGGGGAAGAGTCACCATTGGCGATACGGTCAACATCAGGCAGTACATCCTCATAGGTGACCACAGGGATCACCTTCTTGAAAGTTTTAGGGTCTGTATGACCATTAAGGCCATGGCGTTGCAAGTACTCAACGGTAGCATTACGCGAAAGAATTTCATTTAGAACTCGCTTCTGGACTTCCTCAGCATTATTAGTGACATCCTCAATGAATTGAAGCACCCTCTTGTTCTTCTCATGATCAGCATGACTATCAATATTATTCAATGAGCTTTCTGGATCCTCTGGCATGGTTAATTTGATCAATATATATATATATGTGTGTGTGTGTGTGTATTGCAAGGAGCAAACAAAAGATATGGCAAAGAGGTCTAAGACGATAAGTAATGTGGAGGAAAGTATCGGCGAGGATGTGCATATATAGAGGAAATGGCGGTTTCTGTAACCCACTGACAATACAAAGAGTTCAATCATGAAAAGAGAAACAGTAAATGTTAAAGGGCAAAATGGTAAATTTATTTAATTATTTTTCAGTTCGACTATTTTTAGTTAACAAACCCTAAAGTTATACTCCATATATATAATACTAGAATCTACAATATATATAGTTATATAATACAGTAATATATACAGTATTATATATGTACACGTGTTTGTTGGCTTGGGTGACAAGGAAAACTGGAAGCGCGTTTGTTACCCTTGGGTTGGCAGGACAAATTCAAGAGGGTGCAACCGAAACAGAAGGTGGATCTGACGGGCAATATCCGGTAAAGTCGCATGCGTGCATGAACCGCGGTCGGCTGCTTCTTAAAATACCAACAAGCAAAAGGACTCTCGCTGCCTTCTCTTTCACGTTTAACATCCTCCCCCGACACCATATATACATCGAATCTTACACTATACATATATATATATACACTATATACACATATATATGTAAAATATTATAAAATTTTGAAGCATGAATTGACTTTAATTTGCCTGAACATATAGTCTTTGGGATGGTCCAAATTAACACCTCAGTGGTAGATAGATATATAGTGAAGGAGATTTTGCATGATAGCCTCTAAGTTGGTCCACCTCTTCCCTAACTAGCTGGATTGATAATTGTGTAAATATAAATCCTTACGTGCAAAGTAGATATATATGATTCTATGATATATATATAGCGCGATGGAAGAAATCTCTAGGTATGGGAATTAGTAGTGAAAATTGGAAAATTAAGTTTAAAACCAGCAACAAATAGTTCCTTTGTTTGTTTGTTTTATTTTGGGTACTTAAATACATAGCACCTTTGTTGCATCTCAAGTGAATTCTAAATCATGAGTTACAATTATATTGTCAATCGTAATAAACAATTAACTTAATTAGTTTGTACATGTTTCTAGAGATTGAGCTTGCTTATTACATAAAATATATAAAAAAATTAGTCAATCTGGTAATTAAATAAGGGCAGGTGCTCACATATGATATATATTTTGTAATTAGTTAATTTTTTATATATCAAAACAAGTCTGATCGAGTTGTATTTTTAAGTTTAAAATTCAAGATCGAGGCCGATTGCGGAATTAAAGAGTTATTCATGTTTGATAGCTTGAAGTCTACGAAAAGGTAAGAATAATACTTTAGGACGTTGAGTTAGAAGATTAGGACACTTGCATACATTTATGTTTTTCAAAATTGCATATTTCCAGAATTTTTAGATTTGGGTCTGGCCAACTTGAACCGGTTCAAGATTCATACTTCGAATTCTTTAATTCACTGGCCAACTTGAACTGGTTCAAGGTTTGTAGAAATTTATGATAACTCTGTTTCCTGCTTTGTTTAAACTTCCTATTTGATATAGATTTCTTTCCAAAAGATTTATGCACGAAGTTAACTTCTTTTCTAAGCATATCTAGATTTTTGAAAGTCTATATAAATATATTTTCTCATATAGGTTTGTGTGACTTTTTGCATTAAAATTTCTGATTTCTTTAAAAGCCTTTTTGAGAGATTTTTATTCAACAAATCAATTTGATTTTTCTAATTTTATTTTTAGAACACACACATAAGCACAAAAGTGATTTTACGGTGTCGTTCAAATCCTGATCGCGTTCAAAGTTTATTGAATATTGCATCTACAATGACCAGAGAAAGCAGATCTATTTCTTCTACATCAAATTCAAATCTTGAAAAAAAATGGTGAAGCGATCACACTTTAAAACGGTCAAAGCATTCGAGAAGTGTTGTTTGATCTACCAGATATCCTTCTACAGAGATCAAGTGTAAGTTTGGAATCGAGAGCTGTTGGACAGGACGTCACAAAGTCGAAAATTATTAGCAGTTAATTTTTTGTAGAATGATAGGGTGTGAGGTTGAGTCAAAATTCATTATACTTTGTTTTAAACATAGTGGATCGTTTTACTCTGGACTACACTATTCACGAAGTTTGTCCACAAAGTTTTTCCCACAACGATTGGTCTCTTCTGCCAATCGGGATTTTCTCGCTAAAAATTTATGTATCACTTCTCAAACTTTATTTGTTTTACTTACTTTTATTTTACATATGTTTAATTATTTACTAATTTAAGTAAATCTAATTGAATAAAAAGACACGTGATTAATTCTCTCCAGATAAAAACTTAAATTTTTCATAATTTATTTCACTGCACAACTCACAATTGGTATCAGAGCCAATCATATCTCTACACATTAAGTTGATCCTAGTAAGAAGTTTTTGATTATTTTCAAAAATTCTTTCATCATGTCTTATGTTTTGAAAGAGGGTGGACCTAATCAACGTGATCCTTTATTCGAAAGAAACAATTATAATTTTTTGAAATCAAAGATAAAATCTTATTTGCAAAATTGAGGATGTAAAGTATGGGCTATTATTGAGATAGGTTATACAACTCCTATTGAGGGAAAGACTGTGGATGGTAGGTTTTAAAAAATACTTTCTCCTTCACTGCACTTGAAACTGAGCGTAATGATGATAATGGAAAAGCCTTATATGTAATTATTAATTCTGTTGTTCCATCTGAATATGCTAGAATTTCTTATTGTAAAACTGTTAAAGATGCTTGGGATAATTTGCAGGTTACTCATAAAGGGACTTCGAAAGTAAAGTTATCCAGAATTCAAATGCTTTCTCATAAGTTTGGATGAAACTTTTTCTGAATTTTATTCTAATCTTTTTTAAATTATTTATGAACTCCGTCATTTAGGCAAAAATATTAGTGATAAGAAAATTTGTAAGAAAATCTTGTAAGGCTTTACCTACGAGATTTCAAATAATGGTAGAACTTATCACTGAACATTGGAATTTGTCTAGTGCTAAAGTAGATGAGGTTGTGGGTTCTTTAAAAAATTTTGAAATGCAGAATTTTAGTCAAAATCAGAAAGAAAAAAATCTTGCTTTAAAGTCAACTCAGGTTGATAACATTATTGATGAAAATTTTGATGAAGATGTGGCTCTCATATCTAGGCAATTTAATCAGTTTTTGTAAAAACAACAAAGGAGAAGGAACGACAATATGGTCAATCCTAGAAATTTTGACAAGGGTTCAAATTTTAAAATTAATGAAAAGAAAGGAAAAGAATTTAAAGAAACCGAACATACTTGCTGGAATTGTGGTGACAAAGATCATACTTCAAATGTTTGTCCAATCCCTAAGAAAGAACAAAATGATAGGAATAAATAAAAAGTAATAAAAGTTTCAGTTTCTGAGAATTTTACTTCTAATGATAATAAATTCTCTCACGATGATTGTAATGATTTTTCTTTTGTTGTTTTTCTTGATAAAGGCTCTCGTATTGTTACTTTGTCTGATTATGACATTTCAGATGATAAAAACAATGAAGTTCGTAATGAACAGATTCAAGAGGATGAGATAGATGAAAAACAATTGAAAAAGTTATTTGCAGAAAATATTGAAGTTAAATTGGCAATTAGAAAATTAGCAAAGAAATTTATTCAAGCCAAAAAAGAGAATGATGAGAGGAGAAAACAGTTTGATTAAAAGAAAAGGAAGAATGTGAAAAACAATTCAATCATCTTGGATCTTGTATTATCCTTATTTTATTACTTGCCCGTCTCCCTCGACACATTTTGCGGTGTGGAAATTCAAAGGGTATTAATTATATATAATAAAGGGTCAAAAGATAAGGAGTTAGAGATACAGACTTAAAATTATACGAATTTATATGCACATATTAAATAAAACGAATATTTTTTACACATTTTTTTTATATTGCATTGATTTTTATTTATTTTGTTCACTTTACCATTTTTGGTACGCTTTGTTTTAGAAAACACTGGAGAAGAAATAATTGAGTTAGGTGAATTAGCCGGCAACTTGGAAGCTGACCACATCTACACAAGATCAAGAAATGGACGTCTAACAAAAAAAATTATAAATGTATTCAAACAAAATTCATACATAACAGACAATTTTGAAGACTTTTCCAATTGACACATAATTCATCAAATGAAGATGATGTTGAGTGAGAATTAGAAACTCTTGAATGAGCTAAAAATCTAGCACTTCAGCAAGTTCAAAATTTGAGGACTTTTCCATTATAGCGACGCTATCATCCTTTTTCAAATACATTCATTCAATTCCAATTTTGGGGGTTGATTCCCCCTTTGTTTTGATAGTTGATACTAGCTTGTGGAGCTTCTCTCGTGTATAAAGTAATTTCTAACCTTTAAAATTAAATACTTTTTGTAATTGACTAACTAACTTTGGTTTTTCAATGACATATTGATCAGATCTTTCTTATCACCCTTTAATTCATATTGTAGTTGGTAATTTAAGTAGCTACAATTGGTGCTTTTCTTATCTTATTGGTCTAACTTGTCAAAATTTGACACTGATTTATTGGTTTTAGATTATATACATAAATAAATTTTAAGAGTGCAAACTTCATTTATATAAGATAATTAGAACGAGGTTTATTCCAATAAGAATCTAAAAAAAATTAGATATACGCACTTTTACCTTTTGCATAAAGAAATTATTTTTGATTTTAAATCTGTGATTTTCAAATTACAATGGAGTTTGAGACACAATATCACAATTGCGTTATACATTTTTGGGAAGATTTTGAAACTGATGATGTGGACTCCAGTTTGTGTTACTCGTCACGGTGAACAAAAAAATATGAGCAGGTGTCCACATGGACATGGTTCTTGAATTAATTGCATGCAGATGTGTCTAGTTGGGGCTACAAATATAGATGTTGTCATGCATAATCATGCATGCAAACCATGTTTTATGAACCAATTGATTCATATTGATATTTGT